TTTGAGGTTGCTGTGAGCTAGGCTGATGCCACGGCACTCTAGCCCAGGCAAGAGAGTGAGACTCTGTCTTAAAAAAAAAAACAAAACAAAAAAACAAACCTACACATTGACAAGAGGCTATGCTTGTAGAAGATCAAGATTTGTCCCGTTGGTCTCAGTTTTCAAAAGAACAACTTTCAGAATATTATTTACTTCTGACCAAAATAACCCCAAAAGCAAAAAACCCTCAACTTAAAAAAAAAAAAAAAAAAGGAATTTTATATATCCCATAAATGTCTGAAAAACCAAAACTGCAACAAACTCAATACAAATTTCTATTTGAAATTTCAAAAATCAAAATTCTCTAGTAAGTGCTTCTTTCTCAAACACTGGCAAGTAGTTTACATTATTTATCTTCACTATATACACACCAATAGTTTCAGTTTTTCTAATGTACCGATACTTTAGCCAAACCACTTCAGAAACTGGTTTAAGTCTAAACTAGCCAAGCCATTCCGTATCAACAGTCCCCAACCTTTTTGGCACCAAGGAGCAGTTTCATGGATGACAAATTTTCCATGGAAGGGGGAGGGCGCGGGGCAGGGGATAGTTTCAGGATGATTGAAGCACATTACATTTATTGTGCAGTGAAACCCCTCTGCTAATGATAATCTGTATTTGCAGCCGCTCCCCAGTGCTAGCATCACCGCCTCAGCTCCACCTCAGATCATTAGGCATCAGATTCTCTGAAGGAGGGCGCAACCTAGAACACTTGCATGCGCAGTTTGTCAGGTTTGCACTCATATGAGAATCTAATGCTGCTGCTTATTTGACAGGAAGCAGTTTTTATACAGTGATGAGAGGGATGGGGAGTGGCTGTAAATACAGATGAAGCTTCCAGGTTTGTGGCCCAGTTTGGTACTGGTCAGAGGCCCGGGGGTTGGGGACCACAGCCTTAGATAACACACTGCCACCTAGTGAACTCCAAATATAAAGAACTTGTAAATATGGCAACAAGTCCTATGTCTTTACACCTAAGCTCACATTTCCAATCACTTCGCCCTTAGGCACTATAACAATAAATGCAATGATAATTTAGTCACTTCAGCAAATGGAAATATTTGCAAGAAGTTCTTTGGAATCTAAGTAAATTTGCCATTTTTATTTTATCCAGAAAATCAAGTGCTAAGTTATGGGGAAAACCAAGGGATAAGACAGACAAGTTTGACATAAAAAAAATTAAATTGTGTTAGTGCTTGTAGTTTGCAACTTTCACTTTAGGTCAGACATCCTATTATCTCTAAATTTATACCTTTTCTCTTAAGAACAGGAATAAACAAATCATATATACATAACAACTTAATAAAGTCATTATTCTGACAAGACATTAGAGTGCCTATTATATAAATGATGCACAAACTGAAATATCTTGTTAGAATCATCCAGAATTCTCAACTTCAGCACTACTGACATTTTGGGGCTGTTTATTCTGTGTTGTGCCTCCACCCCTGCCCCCGCCCCATGCACTGTAGACTATTTAGCAGCATCCTTGGTTTCTGTCTCCACCAGATGGCAAGAGCATCTCTTATTTTTTAAACATAGGCCAATTTTTATTATGATTATGTTGCTTTCAAGCATGGAGCAGTAATGTCCTATGTCTAACTGCTATCACATATAAAACGGTACAAAAAAGTAATACCAGTACTTTTCCATTTTATTAAGGTCTGATAAACTTTAACGTTGAGCTTCAAATTCTTTAAAATGCAGTTTTCTAACACAATTACTATGAACTTTTAGTAAAGAGAAAGCAAGCCTACAGTTTCCTTTTAATTCAATACCTAATACATCAGAATGGCACTATTTCAAATCACTGACATTGATTAGGATCACTGTTAGGCAAATTAAGAATGGCATTAAACAAGAAAAAGTATCAATTCTTTTCATATATTACTTTTCAATTATAGAACAGAATAAAGGAATATTTACAGAATAGAAAAATAAAGTTCTGTATCTATACATGGGAAGCTAATTATAAACAAAAGTTAAATAGATTAAACCTAAACATCATAAAAAGAAAAAAAAAAGAGAGGGAGAGAGAGAGAAGGGGAGGAGGAGGGAGGGAGGGAGAGAGAGGGAGGGAGGGAGAGGGAGAGGGGGAGAGAGGGAGAGAGAGAGAGAGAGAGAGAGACAGACAGACAGACACACACACATGGGGTCTGGCTCTGTCACCCAGGTTGGAAATGTAGTGGTACACACGATCATAGCTTACTGCAGCCTCAAACCATCCTGCCTCAGCCTCCTGAGGTGCTGAGATTATAGGCCCATGCCACTTCTTGAAGCCTTCCAATTAATTTTCAAAAGTCAATTTAATCATCCATTTGGACATCAATATGGCTTATTGAAAAGAGAACATTTAGGCTGGGCGCGGTGGCTCACACCTGTAATCCTAGCACTCCTGGGAAGCCAAGGTAGGAGGATTGCTAGAGGTCAGGAGTTCGAGACCAGCCTGAGCAAGAATGAGACTCCGTCTCTACTAAAAATAGAAAGAAATTAGTCAGACAACTAAAAATACATAGAAAAAATTAGCCGGGCATGGTGGCACATGCCGGTAGTCCCAGCTACTCGGGAGAGGCTGACGCCATGGCACTCTAAACTGGGCAACAGAGTGAGACTCTGTCTCAGAAAAAAAAAAAAAAAAGAGAGAACATTTAAACACTTTAGTTTTTCCATGAACTCAAACACACATAGCTCATTTTACAAGGCCAGATTTCACTCAGGACATACCTAAACCAGGAAGCATAAAGCTGAATAAAGTGAAACTATGGCCACTCTAATTGTAACATAGAGAGGTAGAGTTTGACTCAGGTCAGAGTTAGAGAGGACATAAAGTTTACAGAATTGGGAGTCTTTTCAGCCAACTTTTAATAATAACTCAATACTATAATCATGTATACAAAAATTTTTTAAAATGAAAATTATTAAAACAAATTTACCTCTTTTGAATCATCTATTCTCTCAAAGTACACAAAAGCAAATCCTCGAGATCTCCCAGTTCGCTGATCATAAACCACATTGACACCACTCAATGGTCCATATCGAGAAAATACTTCACGAAGATCTCTCTCTGTTGTATACAAACTGAGGCCAAACACTCCAAGACAAGTGTTGGGATCTGGATTTGCCTATCGAATAAACATGTTATTTAAATTTAATTAAAACTCCAAATTAAAAAACACAGAAATAATTTAGAACACCTCATCCAACACACAAAGAATATATTATTTCTAATCATTTGGAAATAAGATTTTAAGAGAACCAAAGCAGATGAACTACATTTTACAGTTCATCGTACACTTAGGCCTTCTTTGAAATATATATATACGCCTTGGCTATAGCCTCAATAAAAGCGTTCGGACACTCCACTCTAGCTCAGCAATTTTTCAGAATGTATCCTAAGAATTCATCCTCAGTTTAATACCGTATTTCTAATTTATTCAAACATTTCATATCCCTAATAGATCTGTAATATGACTCCCTCGCCTCCATTTTCATTCTTTAGAAAGGATATTCTTTCGATGTTTCCACAATCCAGATTTAAGAAATAAATGTACAGATTTCAAAACATCATTAAATAATGATGTACTCTACCACAGTTAAGTGAGTCAGTATCACGTGGGAGAAGCACAGCATAGCATAGCATAGCAGTTGAGCACAGGAACTTCACTGGCTGTGCTTTATCTGGGCTCTGCCAGTAAGCAAACACCAAAAACCCCTCCATGTCACACATCCAAGACTCAATCTCCTTATCCATAACATAACTCACACCGCACAGATGTTAAGAGTATAAATGTACTGAATAAAAGTGTTAGCAATTATCACTAGAGTTTTTAGTACTTCCTTACCCCCCCACCCCTGTAAAATGTTGTATCTCAATATTTTCAACTCAGTTTATGCTTTTCATTTTAACTTTTGCAATGTATTTCTTTCCAAATTTCATCTCTTTTTAAACTATTCAAAAGTCAAGAAAAGAAAATATATTCTCACTACGTTATTTGTCACAAAATACATAAGCTTACTAAGATAGTGGCATGTCCTTTATTAGTATGTCTATGACATAAAGTTTTCCTTTTTTTTTTTTTCATTTTGAAAGCTAAAAAGCAGATTAATGAGGTTTCTGGTGTACCGTTTCTAAACAATGGCTGAGCTTTCATAAACGCTAGTTGTTATACCATGACTAACACATAGGAAAGAGAAAACAGGTTTTCGTTAACTTTTATAAACCACATACCCTGCTGCCTGTATGTCTTCTCCGGTTAGACATTGGAGAATGACTTCGGCTTCTTCGTCGCCGGTATTCTGGTGTATATGACCTACTTCGAGATCGTCTCCTGTGAGAGTGAGAGTGGGATCTGGATCGAGTGTAACGTCTATGAGAATGCCTCCTTGACCTTGACCTTTGAGAGAAATAAATTTAGGTAAAAATACTGGAACCAACACCCTTCCTCTTCCAAGGATGTATACCCTATCCCTGCCTATTCTCAGCTCCTTCCTCCTCCTTTCTGAGCAAAGGGTATTCTTTCTCTTTTCTCTTAAATCACTATAACTTCCTCCCTGTTCTCAGTCAATCCCTTTTACACTCACCGTTTTCACCTTACATTACAAACACGTTAAGACTCTACCTTCTTTAAAAATAAAAACAAAAAACCAACTACCACAACCACCACAATAAAATCCTTTGATTCTTGGCATCTTCTCCCTATAGTTCTATATTTCCTTCACTGCTAAGTATCATTTCCTTTCCAATCTTTCCCTAGCCTGTATTATAATATCTGCTAAATTATTTCATCAACAACCAAAATGCCCATCTCATCCATGTACTGCTGCTTCTCCAATTCATCTCCTATTTCATTAGTCCCAGTAGCTCTCAGTCCTCTTTTTGCCTATAAGATTAATTCAACAAATTTCTCCCAGGCTGGAGTGCAGTGGCACGATCATAGATCTCTGTGACCTCAAACTCCTGGGCTTAAGCCATTATCCCTCCTCAGCCTCCTGTAATCCAACACATTCTTACTTACCATTCATATGATCCACCCTTAACTACACTTACTCGGACCAGTAGTGATGAGAGTCATACAAAATAATTTCCAGAATGCATTCAATAAATGTTACAAATGTTAAGGGCCACAAAGTTAAAAAAGAGATCATATGGGGAAGGGAATAAAACTAAGGAAGGACTTGATCCTCCCCATTTTCCTTAGCACTACTAATTTACAGTCCCTATTTTTTTTTTTTTTTTGGAGACAGATTCTTGCTCTGTCGCACAGGCTAGAAGGCCATAGCATCATCACAGCTCACTGCACCCTGAAACTCCTGGGCTCAAGTAATCCTCTTTCCGGGACTACAGGCACACAGCACCACTCCCGGCTAACTCTTCCTTATTTTTTGGTAGAAACGAGGCCTCACTCTTGCTCAGGCTGGTTTTGAACTCCTGAGCTCAAGCAATCGTCCTGCCTTGGTCTTCCAGAGTACCAAGATTACAGGCATGAGCCACCATGCCCAGTCCCAATTTTTAAAATAAAAACACCTTTCATTTAAAATATCAACTGTTACTTTTAAATAGTAAGGAGAGTGAGACATCAAAACTCTTCAAGAGCCCCTACCTTTTCTTTAAATCAGACAGTGACAAATGCTATGAAAAAAGAAATTAAGTGTAAGGGAATAAAAACTGTGTATGCTATTTTATGTTCTTGGGTGACAATCAAATGACATGAGAATTATCTGAATGAAGAGAATCTTAGGCTGGTCCGATGGTAGTGGGTTATCAGAACTTATTAACGTTAGTGTCACTAAAATTGGTATTCAACCCCCCACTGCTAAATTTGACTGGCTTAAAAAAAAGAGAGAATTCTAGGCTGAGGGCAGCAAGTGCTATTGTCCTAGGGTAAAAATACGCTCTTTTCTATTTCTACATTCAAATTCTACCCAGTGTTATTCTGCACATGTGTATTTAGTTAAATAATTGAGGGGTTAGTAAATCAAGCACTGGGTTAGATCCTGAACGTAACAGAAAATGGCATGACTGTGGATCAAGAAAAGTACAGCCTTTTAACTGATTCTTCTGTGTCACACTCCTTTGCAAGCAGACTCTTTTCAAAGATACAAATTCTACGTTTCTACCTAAGAAATTCAAGAAATGACAATGACTTATCAAACTAAAACTGTCCAGGTTTTTAACTTTTTTATCCCACCCCAGTTTACCTGGGACATCTGATACAGTGAACTCTGTAGCAGTTCACTAGAGTTTTTGTGGTTGTTGTTGTTGGTGGGGCTCTGCATCATCTGGGGACCCCCCCGCCACCAATTACATCTGACCAGAGCTCCAACGTAGACAGAGTCATAATCTTCAGGTAAAATATACAGCTGGAATGTGAATCTTAAAAATGCTTCTCACTCTGTTAACCAACCAGTACACACATCAAACTTTCTCTGCATAAATTACATGCAAGTATCCAATGGAAAAAACTGCCTTTTTGTTGTACAAAATATTGCTGGCATAAAATCAAATACTAACTGTCTCAAATGCCAAGCACATTTAAATCAATCAATATTTATTTATTTCGTATTTTAAGTTTTTAGAGACAGTCTAGCTTTGTTGCCCAGCTATAGTGCTACAGTGGCCAACATTGTAGCTCACTGCAACCTCAAACTCCTGGGCTCGAGCAATCCTCCTGCCTTAGCCTCCTGAGTAGCTGAGATTATAGGCGTACACCTCCACACCTGGCTAATTTTTTTTATTTTTTTGTAGAGAGGGATCTCACTTTTGCTCAGGCTGGTCCCCGGAGTTCAAGTGATCCTCCTGCCTTGCTCTCCCCACAGTGCTAGGATTACAGGTGTGAGCTACCACACTCCACCTCAATCAATATTTAATTTGTATTAATAGCTAGTATCCAACAGATTAATTGGGCCAAGAGATGATTCTTATCTAAGTCTTTAACTAGAATATATTTATTTACTTATTTATTTTTTGAGACATGGCTTCGCTCTGTTGCCCAGGCTGGAGCAAATTGGTTCCACCATAGCTCACTACAGCCTCGAACATCTAGGCTCAAGCAAAGTCTCTCGAGTAGCTAGGACTACAGGCATGCCCCACCATGCCTAGCCATTTTTTGGAGAGACTTGGTCTCGCTATGTTGCCCAGATTGGTCTCAAACTCCTGGCCTCAAGCGATCCTTCTGCCTCACCTCAGTCTCCCAAAGTGCTAGGATTACAAGCTCAAGTCACTGCACCCAGCCTATTATTCTTTTTTTTCTTTTTTGAGACAGAGTCTCACTGTCTTGCCCGGGCTAGAGTGCCGTGGCATCATCCTCGCTCACAGCAACCTCAAACTCCTGGGCTCAAGCGATCCTCCTGCCTCAGCCTCCCAAGTAGCTGGGACTACAGGCACACGCCACCATGCCCGGCTAATTTTTTCTATATATTTTTAGCTGTCCGATTAATTTCTTTCTATTTTTGGTAGAGACGGGGTCTCGTTCTTGCTCAGGCTGGTCTCGAATTCCTGAGCTCAAACGATCCGCCCGCCTCAGCCTCCCAGAGAGCTAGGATTACAGGCGTGAGCCACCACACCCGGCCCCCTATTATTCATTTTTAAACTCTGAGAAAAATAATTATGCTTCATGATTTTGGTTCTTTGGTGAAATTTCTACACAAAATGCAGCCTAAAATCCCTTTGTCATGAAAAAAACCCAAGAAGAATACTGTTAAGTATTATTCTAAACACACTTACCTGGATTTTGATCTTGATCGAGAATGGGATTCAGAGTGTTTGGAAACCCTTGATGGACTACGAGATCCTGACCTGCTCTCCGATTTTACACGAGCAGGAGTTCCCGTTGGAGATTTTGACTGAGAGCGAGACTCCTAACAAAGAAGACAGTATTACAAATGGCACTGGTCACGTAGATGCCTAACACCTAACATTTAAAGTACCGTAATTATTTATATTGATTGCTCCTGAAAAACAAATGGTTAGGCAACACCCTCCAGAAAAAATTTCAGCTCATTAATAACCCATCGTTAATATTGCTAACTGTCCTCAATAATTCCCTACTTGAACCAGATCACCAATTCTCTATTAACTAAGTAATCATGCAAATTCATCTACAACTTGATCATACAGACACTGGAACATAAACCATACATTTACTTAACCTAGGACCCATTCATTCTTCCAGATTCTTTTAATTCTACTTCACTCTTGCTTTCTACTTCTCTTCATTCTTCATTGAGTTTTTCATTTTTCATACTTCGTGTATTCTTCCCCAATTCAAACAATTCAAAATAGCCTTAAAAAAATATTCAAGTGCTTCTATCTGACCAATCTTCTGTTCAATTTTTTCCCCCATTCAATTTTAATTTTCTGATCTTTAATACTTTTCATTAGCCTTCTTTTATCTTGATTTATCTTCCACATTCTTGGAAAAAACTCTTCAATTTCTTCACGAACATTAACCTTAATGGAAAAAGAACATTTAGTATATTTAAGCACGTGGGGATTATAAAACTCTGCTGGAGTTCAGAATGTTATCTACCAAATGGAAAAGCCAGCAGGTAAAGTGCAAATAACTAGTTTATTAAAAAAAAACAATTTTATAGTCTTTAAAATTGTTCAAAAGTCTAGTTTCTGACAGTTCACTGAATTTCTCTAAATGTTTTTCTTTTTTACCATACTCTTCACCCTCCTCCCCTTTCATGTTTCATTCTAGTTCCTAAAATGTAAACAATTTTAATATACTTAATCCAAACATAAATCTAACATTAACTGTAGTTTCCCCCCACCTAAATGTTAAATTTCCACTATTTTATAACCTGGAGATTCTTGAAAGAAGCTCTCACTAAGCCATGCTAAGAAACTGAGATATAGTTAAAGCAAAGCATCCCAGGCTGAAATATTTGCACACACCTATCTAAACTGGTGTATTATAGCACACATGCCAAGGTTCAAAGAAGTCAAAAAAGTAGTAAAATTACTAACACCTTCTCCCAATTTTGTTTCATCACTTTTTTGCTCATTCTGATTTAACGAGAAAGAATTTGTTCTGAAGACAAACAACCATACTGAAAAAAACAAGGGGAAGAAGAATGAAATTCTTCAACCTTCCCCCATGGCTTAATTCCTGAAATATGCATTTTTGCAACTGTGCCACTTTAAAATGCACGTGGAATATGACAATGTGCAAGTCACAAAATTTTTATCATGGTCTTTATCTTTAATCCCACCTCTTCGCTCAGTTTTTTTTTTTGGCCTGTGACATAGAAGGCATTGCTCATAGTTTTTGTATATATTTTATGTATTTATGTATACTTGTACTCCCTTCAGTGATTATATCCTGTATCAGAAAACTGACTAGTTTCTGAAAAAGCTGAACAAAAACTTTCCAAATAATACATAATTTATAACTGATTAAAAACTTGTTTTAAAATTTGACAGCTGATTATGACCTAAACAGGACCGACAATGTGGTTTCTCTGTCTATTTAAGCCTTGGTTATTACTATAATTACCCAATTTCATACCAATTTTCATGTATGCCATAATATTATCACGCAACTTTTAAAAACCTTTCTTAAAACTTTGCCTTTACTTCAAGTTTAATATCAAAAGACTTATAAGGAACTGTACTAATGCCACTAGGTCTATCCATCTTTTCAGATGAAAACAAAACTGAAATATATAGCTACCTTTCTGTTCCATACCAACCATTCCCATTTAGCTATCTACAAGTCTTTCACTACACCTCAGATACCCTCAAAATTCCTGGACAGATGCCTGGAAGCAGGCATAGCAATGTGGGCTTTTTCACTCATTGAAACTATAAAAGCAGCATATTCAGTACTTTAAAAAAAAAAAGAAAAAGGTACAGCTAAATTGCTTGCAATTGAAGTTTCACAGGCTGGTTCATTAACTAAACTGATAAGAATATCTTCCCCTCTTTCTCTTTTGGCTTTCCCTTCTATAAAACAGACCCTCTGGCATAATGTTCCTTTATGCTACTGTTGAATAGCACTAGCTGGAATAGTACCTATGAACATCACCAAAGCCCTTGTTATACACACATATCATCAGAAGGCTTTGCTCTGTAAGACACTGTAAACCTTTAATTTTACTAGGATAGAAATAAGAATCTTATATTAAATAGTTAAGTCAATAACATCTCAAAATTTAAATTTTAAATCCCAGTTGTGGAGTAGTAAAACAAAGCATTAAGGTATGATAGAATGTCTTTTTTGAAAGACATCAGCATATTTTAAAGGAAGTTTAGCTTTTTATTACCCAAGGTATCACAAATGCCTAACCTCTTTTGTTGTCTGCCCTTCTTTTTAACATCTCTAGGAAATCTAAACCTGAATAAATTTCTTCATGGAATCATCCAAGATTAAAATAGTCCTCTCAGGTCCCTCTAACTCCTAGTTACAAAGTTGTCCCTATCATTTGAACTTCCAAAAACAATCTAGAGACTTTCCTAAAAAGTTAATAACTGTTAGAGTAAACTTACCCAAAAGAATAAACTACCAAGTACAAAATAAACTTAATTTTTTTTTTTTTTTTTTTGAGACAGAGTCTCACTGTGTTGCCCGGGCTAGAGTGCCGTGGCATCAGCCTAGCTCACAGCAACCTCACACTCCTGGGCTCAAGCAATCCTGCCTCAGCCTCTCGAGTAGCTGGGACTACAGGCATGCGCCACCTTGCCTGGCTAATTTTTTCTAAATATTTTTAGTTGTCTGATTAATTTCCTTAGTAGAGACAGGGTCTCGCTCTTGCTCAGGCTGGTTTCGAACTCCTGAGCTCAAACAATCCGCCCGCCTTGGCCTCCCAGAGTGCTAGGATTACAGGCGTGAGCCACCGCGCCCGGCCTAAACTTAATTTTTAAGAAATATTTTTACTACAATACCAAAAAAATGGCCCATCATTTTAAGACCTGGTGGTTAATAAAGAGTCTTTACAAAGAAAAAATGGTCATATTAATATTCACAATTTTAAAGCAATCTTATTTCTCAAAAACTGCTACCAAATGTCACTTTCACTAAACTCTGCATTAAAAATTAAGCTACAAGAAGTCCTTTACTAAGGACAAATGCTAGATAATCCTTTTCTATCTTTAAATCATCTTCATTATGAAATAATTTCAAATCTTTTCAGAGGAATTTATAAAACTATTCAGAATTTAGAAACTGAATTGAAATTACAAACAGAAAAAAAATTAAATGCTGGGAAGAGGTGGTATCTTGCCCTGTTTTACCAGACCACCTGTTCTTATAGCTGTCGAGTCAAGAAATCGACAAATTCCTTAGTTACCTGGCTCCTGGATCCAACAGCTATTAAAAATATATGCTGCCGAGTTGAAATGGGCAGATTAATGATTCCATAAACTCATATCACAGATTTTAAAAGAAATCTTAAACAGGTCTCCAGTCTACCTCATATCCTATAAACTGGAAGCCAGGCACAGCACAACCTGCTTAGAAAGGTTTTTCTTCTGGTGTTTATCTACTTGTGTGTTTTTAACTATTCTTTATTACCAAGATACCTCTGGTGGTATCTTGATATCTTTCCGTGTATTTTACGCACTGTAAATAACCACAATAACCATGTACTATTCTTTTAATCAGGGTTATTTTATATATATATATATACACATGTTGTAGAACATAATTCCTACAACAAGCACTAACTGCAGTCTTTTAATAAGGCCTATATCATATTATAGAGGGAAGAAAAAAAACCCAACACAATACATATGCTTAGTACTTAATACTCATAAAATAAACACATAAACTATATAAATGCTCCATTGTAACCCATTCCAATATTAAGGCCAGGCAAAGTCTATGCCAGGTTAACAGTGCCAGATTTACACAAATCCAAGTCTATGAGTATAGTAATACATAGTATGAGTAAAGCAAACTTACTGAAAATATATTTTCCTAAATACTTTATGAAACTGGAGCTGTATTTTCATAGAAATACACTAGTGCATTTAGATAAATAATATATCCCCAAAGGGGGGAGAATGTACTTAAATTACCCAAATATCTTACAATATTTATTGTATTAAGAACTTCACTCTTTAGGACTTGTAAGAACTGTCTATATTTACTCAATTTCAGTCTACAGAAATAAGAGTTTCTGCTTCCTTCCTCTTGGATATGATAGGATACTTATTTTACAAATTCTTAGGCTGTTAAAGAAATACTTCCAGTCTCTTCTTAAATAATAACTATTAGAGCAATCCTTTAAAAAGAAAATACTGTTTGCTTATATTATTTTAAACAGTAATTTCTTTTCCCTTAAGGTCATACCTATACACTGCATTTTGAATCAGTTTTAAGTGGTTTCTATCTGCAAAGGCTCAAAAATATTCTAATACTCTATGTGTATTTTCTAAAGTTTAGAATAGTTTTGGAGTAACTTCTATCATAAAAAATGATTTACTAATTGGCACTTAACATAAGCAAACTTAAACTCATGCTACAATTGTTTGTTTATAAGGACTAAAGTGGTTTAGCTGTATTAAAGCAGATAAACAGCAACTAAAACCAAAGTACTAAGAACCTGTTATAGCATTCTCTGCTTATGCTCTCATCTTCTGGTGTCAGAGTATTTCTGAATCTTGGGTAAATCAGATGCCAGGGCCCTGGTTTCAAGGAAAAATCATTACTTTTCTTCTCCCTCAGATCAGTCAGGCGTAGTCACTCACACCCTTGGTGAAAATTACCAGACAATAAGGATTATACACAACTATATAGGGAAATAACTTAAAGGAGGAAGGTGAACTACATTTCCTTTTATTATCCTCCTCTCAAATTTTCTGTAGTGTTTACAATATTTTCCTCATTTGATTGCTACCATTTTCTCACCTC